ATTACACCTTCAAAGTATTGCATCGCCACTGCCTGGAATCTGGTTCTTTGACTTGGTGGCATTTTTTTCAGTGTTGCTTTAAGATTAAAATTATTTTTAAAAAGAGTTCATAGATCAGGGAATATTGACATGTTCAAAGTGATAAGGGAAATCAATCCAAGATATTTAATTGCTGCCACTTTATTAGAATCTTGATAGAACCTCGAGAGGACTGGGAGAAAATTCAAAAAGTTATTTTCCAAATGCGTTCATGGGACTACTAAAATTGTTATAGGATGCTTGTTTTAAGCAGTTTTGCAGTTTCTACCAAGTACCAGTATAATATTGCAAGCAAAGCATTCCATTTCATTAAATGAAAATTCAGTCTGAGAATCTTTGCAACGGATCTGTGGTGAACTTCAAATATACTACTGTCAGCATCTGTAAACTGCAGCAGGAAGATCATTCATTCCCTTTGTGTGTGTCTGTTTCCCCATATCTGCACGGGAGATACCATGTATTATTATTACCTATCACTGTTCTAAATTATCCCTTTGTTGCTCATTTTTGAATTTCATTCAGTGCTACCTAGTAAATTCATATTACAAGCATGAATGAAATGGCCACTGTATATAATGGGGTTTTTACTATTGTATTCAACCAAGCTCTTAATCAAATTAATTAAGTTACTAAGAAGTATTTTCAGGAAATCTTTAAGGCCTTGTGAGATAAAGTAACAGTATATCCATAATTCAAGGAAGTAAAAAAAAATCTCATAATTCAATTACACATGAATACAATAACCTGTTTTGTCCAAATATTTCAAATATTTATCATGACAATATACCCATGCTCAATGAGCTTGTTGTTTTAATAACAGTCTTATTCAGCAATAGTTGTGCAGCCAATAAAGATCCAGTGGTGGTGCAGTGGTTAGAACAGTGATGGCGAACCTTTTAGAGACCGAGTGCCCAAACTGCAACCCAAAACCCACTTATGCATCGTCAGGTGCCGGGTGGGTGTGGCCCATTGGGTGGATGTGGCCCATTGGGTAGGCGTGGCTGCAGTGGTAATGGCAGACTGGGTGGGACTAAAAAGTTCAATCAATCAATTCCAACTTTGCAAGATCTTTTTTTTTCCTGTGAGAAGTTGAAATTGACTGATTGAACCTTTTTTTTTTTGCGCACGGCGGCAGAGGCCTAAAGCCAAAAGGGTTTATAAAACCCAGCTGAAGGCCTAGGACTGGGGCGACGGTGCACGTGCCCACAGAGAGGGCTCTGAGTGCCGCCTCTGGCACCCGTGCCATAGGTTCGCCACCACTGGGTTAGAATGAAGTATTGCAGGCTAACTCTACCCACAGCCTGGAATTTAATCCTGACCGGCTCACGGTTGACTCAACCTTCCATCCTTCCGAGGTCAGTAAAATGAAGACCCAGATTGTTGGGGGGCAATATGTTGACTCTGTAAACCACTTAGGGAGGCCTGTAAAGCACTGTGAAGCGGTATATAAGTCTAAGTCAGTGTTTCTCAACCTTGACAATTTTAAGGCATGTGGACTTCAACTCCCAGAATTCCACAGCCAGCATTGCTGGCTGTGGAATTCTGGGAGTTGAAGTCCACATGCCTTAAAATTGTCAAGGTTGAGAAACACTGGTCTAAGTGCTATTGCTATCATGAATATGTTAATTATCAGATTTTTTTTAAAAAAATTATAGAATTGTACTTATACGTTCTTCAAGCAAGAGTTGGGGAGATAAGTGTGTAGGGTCTACACTTGCATTTTGACATATAAAGTTGAATAGACTACATCACTCTCATTATACGCTTAAATGCTGCTACTTAAGTTACTCTGCATGTTACTTTCTCGAAAACTTTTGTGACATAAAAAGCCTGATTGTTGGAAGCTTTGTATCAGAATAAAGACTTGCGTGATCATAGAAACTTTAAATATAGAGTGGGCACTGCCTCCTTACCATCAGATTAATCAGTAAAAATTAAAACCATTCTTTTATCATTTTTATTATGCCCTATCTAAGGGAAAATAGAGTTAATAATGTAATATAGAATAGGGTCGATTTGGAAAAGCGAGCATACTTTCATCCTCAGAATATTCATGAATGGTCTATTACTTATTGAAAAAGGTCCATAATTATACCTAACATCAAAACTGTTTCTTGAAATACAAACCTTTCCCATACCTCACATATTTGATACAATTTTAAATGTAAATAAGATGTTACTTTCCTAAAAAAAATCTACTTTTCTTCTCTATTACCATAGAAAGGAAGTGAAAACAGTACTATCTAGATTCTAGAGCATGGGTGTCCAATCTTTTGGCTTGCCTGGGCTGCATTGAGTGAAGGTTGCTTCGTTGGGGCTGTGTCATGCCTCCCGTAGGAGCCTGAATCTGCAGAGGAAAATGAGCTGGAATGGGGCTTCAGAGGAATGTGGGGAAGAGCAGGCAGAAGCAGGCCAGGCCCTTCAGGAGTGGGACAGGAGGAACAGGAGAGGCAGAGTTCAGGCGATGAGCAAGGGCCACCCCTTCCTGATCCTAGAGCATGGAGGGAACAATGCAGGCAGGCTCAACTACTCGGGAGGAGAGTGTCCCGGCCCTCTCCACAAGGCACACCTGGAGACTGAGATTTAAGAAGCCGCTGTGGGGAGAGGCGTCGGGAACAAATGCTGATTCCTTGGAGTTTTGTGTGTGTGTTGTTGCTGATCTCTTGTTCTGTGACTTCTGCTTGGAAACCCGGAAACTCTTGACCACTGGATTGGCTGACAACGTTGCTTGGATGTTTAAAAAACTCGGACTGTATTTTGGCTTCCTTTCTGAAACTGCTCAGGCAACACTCGTTAGGTTTATGATGCGTGTGTCATTCTTTCTTATCTCCGTGGCCTTGAGTAAAATCCTCTCCTAATCAGACTGTATGTGAAACTGTTTGCAGTTTGTGTGTGTTTTCTTTTGTTTGGAGGCTTGCCAGAAATGTGGGAGCATTTGGGGAACATTTGGAGCAATTAAAAGGGCAGTCTGAATTGCCAGCTGACTGCATTGCCTCTGTGCTGTGTCCTGGTCATCACAGGCTGTTCGTTGCCCAGGCTAGCATGTAAAATAGGGAAAAATAATACTCGTAATTGTTCAACATATCTAGAAGCCCTGGGCTTCCTTGAAGCTACACATTTGGAAGGCAAGTCATAATTTGGACCTCACTCTTAGAACAAGCAGTACTCAACTATAATAGAGCTTCCTATGTTGTATCTGAAAATATGAAATATGTAATCATAGGATCATCATTTGCAGCACTGTCTTCAGTCATTAGGACACCTTGTCCCCTCAATAACTTTTTTCATATAGACTGTTGTACACTGAGAATCAGACGAATTGAGGTACATAGTTTGCAATTATTTATTCAGTCAAACTATTATCAGTCTAGTTTATAGAACTATCAAGCTTTTTAAAGTTCAATTATATCAAACAATAAAAAGAGAAGGGAGAATTTCTTTAAATGTAGACTGTAATTCCTGATTTCCCATAGCTTAAATGTAATTCCCTCAGTGGCACCTATTTGTTTTGTTCTGGGTGATGTACAATCTACTTCTACAGGGTAGATGTGATTGTAAAGAGTTGCTCCTAATATTGGCCAAAGCCATTTCCAATGTAAAGATGTTTTCAGTTTTAATTATTTCTAGTAGCAAAAAAACAAACAAAAACAAATTGAAACGCTGCTCTTAAGACTGACTTTCTGCCAAAGGGCATTTCATTTGTGATTGCTGAAATACAATTATAATTCACTGTTTCCAAATTGGCAAAACAAAATCTGAGAGAAGATTGTTATATGCAATATAAAAGATACTTCATTTTAAAGAACGAATCAGAACAGTGTGCAAGTCATAGTAGTCACTTAATTTTTTTATTTATTGTTCTGTGGGAATAGGGAAAGAGAAGCATACATTTATACAATATTTCACAATCACTTTTATCCAGGATGGGGTTATTCTTAAATACTTGCCGAAAAATAGCAAGAGCAATTTGACAGTAGTACAACAACCTGTGCCCAGAACACTGACAAGTACCAAGTAAAGCTAAAATAATTGCTTACCAATATTTTGAGAGGTAACATCTTATATGGGCTTGAGTGGTGTGCATTAAAAAAAAAAGTACTGCTGGTTGAATATATTGAGGTAAATGGTGTTCCAACAAGGATACTATTTTTATCCCTTGTTTGTAATCCTGTACATAGCTTGCTGAATTTTATACCAAATATTCCTAATAAAAATGCATTAAAAAGTTTAAAAAGAGAATTGGAAAAAGGTCAACCAATCAGTCACCTCACTTTGTTAAACTACGATCAGCAATTTTATTCTGTAGAACAGTAGTATGAACACTATTTACTACATCCGATTACACCTTAGTTATGCAAGAGCTACTCCACATGGATTTTTGCTATCAAAGAAAGTATAAAGTTGTGTATTTTAATCCAGACTCATTTTCAGAATACCACCATGAATGAGAACACTAGGTCAAAGAACTCCAACAATTACGAGGCACAATCTGTTCCAAAATGCTAAGGTATATTTAGCAACTGTACAAAGAGTAGTCATGCATCATGTGATATAAAGTTCTTCGCATCTAACACAAACTGAAAAGGTATTGCAAAGTTTAGACTTTGAAGTTGTTCACAAAACTGATCAGTTAAATCCTGTGGCAATTATATAGGCAGCCAACTAAGTAGTCACAGGCAAACCAAAGGACGATGAAAGCTCGAGTCTCAACCCAGGCTTTCCTTCACAAGTCAAAGATACAAGGTAAATCACCAGAGCTGGCCAGATCAATACAAGCTGAATGGTTCAAGTACAAAAAGCAACAACAGCCACAATATTGGCCAGAAAGCAGAGCACTTTTCCTAGCTCAGACACGAATGGGTTAATTTCCTAGGATAGATCTTGGCTTAAGCATTTTGAAAGAATTGTCCACCGTTACAAAGAAGTCAAAATTTCGTGCAGGGCTATTTTGGTGGATTTTATTTTTTGGCAGTTTGGTGGGTTTTAATAATTTGACAGAGTCTACCCAAAAAAAGTGTTTTCGGATAAGAGGCATCTCGAAAAGCAAAGACTAGTTAGGGGGAAGCAAAGAAGGGAAGTTTTGGGAAATACTTTTTTAAAAACTCTTCTCATGTAGACATTGTTCTGCTTGATTGTCAGTTTTGATATTTCCCCTCTATGACCTGCAATTCCAAATGCATTTGCAAAAAACATACGTGAAAAGGTCTTACTTGGCTTGAGTCATATTGGTGAAAGTCTATTTGATTATTTTTTTTAAAAAAAAACCCTGCTCTATGAAGCTGTGGTGGGAGATTTGCAACCAGAAATGATGTTTGTAGGCATGTGCTTTTTTAAGATGAAGACTGATAAATTACATTTTCTTAATATGAATATTTTCATTTTGAGGAAAAACCGTATGTGCCAATCATTCATACTATTTTAGATGATGCTGTTGCGAATCAACTCCTAAAAGTAGAATCAAGCAAATCATCTTCTTTTATTCAAAAATACATCTGAAGAACAATTGTTGCGTTTGTTAACAAAAGTAGCAAGTTATGCCCAGCAACATCCATAATCAAATTATGGCATCAGATTTGGTAACTATGAGACAAAACATATCTCTACGGAATATGCCAGTTTGCAGAGGAGAAATCCTCTAATACTCGTCTCTGTTTAGAACTGGATGTCCAAAATCTTGTTTATAACTATTTCCTCTACATTTTTGGAGACCAGTACAAAATTAAAAAAAACCTCACTGTGATTTCATACATCTTTACAAGAGAATATTCATGGTGAACATTTAACTATGACCACCTTTTCCTTTATAAATCTAATGTATTATTTAAATATAAAACTGCCTAGAATCTGATAATACTGGCTACTGTTGGTTCAGTACTTTCATTTTGAGACTTCGCTTTGGCTTGTATACATATAACTAATCAAATAATTACTGCCTTTTACAAGTACTTTGGCACCTGTCTACTTTCGGCCCCTTTTGCTAGAGTCTTCTTAATGGATAGGCTCAACATCATCAATCCCTATAACTCCTTTAATTCAGTACAGTAGTTTAAAGTTGTAGGGGTTTTTTTTTGCTAGACTATGCTACATTATCATTTCCATTGAAATAATTGCATATTTGATGGTAAAGGTTTTTTTTTTTAAGAGTCTGTATTTTTAATTTTTTAGTGACCACAAGTTAAACCTATGTATCACTTATCAATGTTCCTCTGACAAGCCGGCACCAAAAAAAATCAAGTGATGTGAAACTACAAAAGGCAACACATATAAAAGTGTGTGGAGTTCAAGGTCATGAAGCTTCCTGAGGTGATCCTGAAACAACAACACAGTGGAAATAGAGTTATGTCCAGGGCTAGACCCATGCACTGGGTGGTTGGAAACATTCCTCCTGCCACCTTCCTCCCACAGCAGCCCCCAATAGCTAGAGGAGCTTCTGTACCCCTTTTGATGGGGCAGGGGCCTGGTTGCTGGGAAGGGGAATGGAAGGAAGGGTAGCTTCCACCATCTTGTTGCATGTGTCTCTGTCTGGATCAACCCACTGTGTCCTGTTTAGTAAAATAGAAAATAACACTAGACAAAATATACATGAAACAGCAAAAGCTTCTTTGAAAGAATTAAAGTTAAGAGCTTTCCAGTGCCAGAGCTCAATAAAATAATAATTAAAAAAATCATGCTTAAATTTTCAAATTCCCATCAGACACAGCAAACCTAAATATTTAGTAAAATAAACGTATACACCATTTTGGGAACTGGAGATAAAGCTTTTAACTAATTGGGGAAGTCGTCGTTGAAAAGGCAATACATTTTTTATACATAAGCTAGAACAAGGAAAGACTAATACACCATTTAGGAATGGCCATGGACTGTTGGCATGAAGCACAGCTTATAACCTTTAAAAATACACCATGAATCTTTTAATGCATCATTTACAAAATCTGGATCAATTTATTATTTCAATTTTATTAGTGTTGTCAATTCAATTTAGCATAGGTGGAACTGAGGTATACCTTGTTGAGGGAGGTTAAGTAATGCTTGGAAGCCTTTTTGCTAGATCCCACTTTGATTACATAGAACAGCAGCACACTAAACATTCACAAGCTGTGTCATATTGGCATTACAATAGTCATTTATATAAACACAACAGCAAATGCAATAAAAACAAGTTACCCTTTTTCTTAAATCTGAAATGAAATGTCTGATTTAAAAAAAATAGCAGTAGTTCATTTTAAGGAATTAGTCTGACATGTTAAGAAATACAATGTCAGTTTTTAAAATGTCTGACAAGCCGAGATAGGTCCATGTTCTTCAGATACTTTTAACATTATCTTGCCATTTTCTCCGGCATATGCAGTAAGTCTTCTGGATCCACGTCTGGAGAAGAACAAAGAGGAATCTTCCTATTGACACTTCAGAGACAGACTTACCATTATTCCATGCTGAAAATTACTGGCCAGAAACAGGCCAGTTTGACTTGGCAGTCTCAGTGCTGAGTCTTATTGGTCAAGAAGTGTGACCCTGCTACTATCATAGACTGGATTCTTTGGGAGGAAAATCCACATTTGTCACCATGGTGACCACAGTCACAATGTCTTCTGTTGTTATAATGTTTGTTAGTCTTTGCATTTGGATAATCCTTTCCTCTACACAACCTGCTGATAATCGAGCTTCTGCATCATGATCCCAACACTCTTCTATTGTTTCACAGAGCATTGCCATTCCCTAAAAATAACGAGAAGAAAGGATACAGTTTTGGGATTCTTATACAACAGACAGAACATAAAACACTATCCTGAAATATATAAACAACATCTAAGTTATATCCACATTAAAACAATGGCAATAAAAACCTCTGGTGATATTAACACCTCCCATGCGACATTTGACATTGAGAAACTGCAGCGAGTGCCTAATTCTGAAATCCAGAATCAATTTGGAATGAGAAAAATCACCATATAATACTTACTGTTTATCTGGCTTAACTATCAGCCCAAATATATAACTTAGGTTCGTGATTGATTACCTTTCTAATACTGGTTCCTGTATATCTGAAAAGCGACTATGATATCGTTTCAGTTTCTTCTCCTTTTCAAAAGTTGAACTGATGCAATTTCAAATGAGGGTTTTGTAATCGAGGGTTGACCCTGCTCTTCCTTCTGCCAGGAGACTTTCATCTAGCTACATTTTATAATTCCTTCCAGTCTTGCAGACTGGCTACACTGGTGGAAGATTTAATGGGGTCAGATGGGGGAGGTGAGGAGAGGGAGACAGATTGGCTACGCAGATACAGGTTAAATGTGAGACAGATTAAAATAGCTTTATTGGCTAGCAACTGTAATGTGTTAGAAAGCCATTGTGCTGCTGAGAGCCTCCGAGATTGCCTGAAACCTTTTGATAAATGTGATTTTAGCAATCTCTCTCAATTGTGTTTAGACTTTTTCTAAAAAGGTCACCGATGCCTGCCATGGGATGTCCTGGGAGGCTGAAATGCTCTGATATTAATTTCTTCTTGTTCTGAGTACATATGGGGGAAAAAAATACTTTTACAGACAATTACCATGCCCTTCAAGTAATGGCCTGTAACAATTACAAATACATCAGCTATCCTATTTTTATAAGTGGAAGGCAAATAAGAAAGTATTTAGTCCTGTTAAATCTTAGAAAGCATGGAAAAAGCAGCTAACTCCATCTGCATTAAATGTTTTTTTTATCTTTTTTTTAATGATCTAATGTTTACCACCTCAAACAGAAGCAGTACAAAACTAAGATGAACAGGAATAGATCACCTCAAGGATTTATAGGAGTCTATATTGAGTGATTGAATTTCCACCCAATGTAAAAAGACTAGAAAAATGAATTGGTTGCAAAAAATATCCTAATTTTAGAACCAGAGTTCACTATATATGAAATATTCTGTTTTCAGCAGTCTTGTGATATTAAGGGCATATAAATTCTATTACATTATGCAGATAACTATCTGAAATGAAACTGGAGAAATGAAAGTTAAATTAGGATATCTTTCCTATGTGTAGACTAGAAAATAATATGAATAAAAAAATTTCTGTTCAGAACAACTTTAATTTTTATTAATGGAATCTGTGTTCAAACTTAACACTGGAATGCATAGAAGTGTGTCAGGCTATAACATATTAACATATATTTTTACACAGCATATTAAACGGGATTAATAGCAATAGCACTTAGACTTATATACTGCTTCACAGTGCTTTAGAAACGCTCTAAGCGGCTTACAGAGTCAGCCTATTGCCCCCCAACAATCTGGGTCCTCATTTTACCGACCTCGGAAGGATGGAAGGCTGAGTCAACCTTGAGTCCTGGTCAGGATCGAACTGCTGTAGTGCTGGCAGTCAGCAGAAGTAGCCTGCAGTACTGCATTTAAACCACCACGCCACCACGGCTCTTAATATTAAACAACCTCTCTTTAGTGACTGCAAATATGTATTAACCTTTTGCTAAATAGAATAACTTAAATATTAGAAGTAGCACATGAATTATATGGCCATTCATTAATCTTCCTGTGAATAATAATTATGAACACAGGTAACTAATTATATTAATGACAGATTTTATCTTCTTGGGCTCCAAGATCACCACAGATGGGGACTGCAGCCAAGAAATTAAAAAAAGCTTGCTCCTGGGGAGGAAAGCTGTGGCAAATCTAGACAGCATACTAAAAAGCAGAGACATCACCCTGCCAACAAAAGTACGTATAGTCAAGGCCATGGTTTTCCCAGTTGCAATGTATGGCTGTGAAAGTTGGACCATACGAAAGGCTGAGCGCAAAAGAATGGAGGCCTTTGAACTATGGTGCTGGAGAAGACTCCTGTGAGTCCCCTGGACTGCAAGGCGATCAAACCGGTCAGTCCTAGAGGAGATCAACCTTGACTGCTCTTTAGAAGGCCACATCCTGAAATTGAAACTCAAGTACTTTGGCCACCTAATGAGAAGGAAGGACTCACTGGAGAAGAGCCTAATGCTGGGAAAGATTGAGGGCGATAGAAGAAGGGGACGACAGAGAATGAGGTGGCTGGATGGAGTCACTGAAGCAGTAGGCGTGAGCTTAAATGGACTCCAGAAGATGGTAGAGGACAGGAAGGCCTGGAGGAACGTTGTCCATGGGGTCGCGATCGGTCGGACACGACTTTGCAACTAACAACAACAACTAATTATATATTTATATATTTAGTAGCAATGACAAATGTGGAAAAAACAAACTCTAGAAAATGCCTGAAGACTATAAACGTATCACTTTTGAAAAGTTTATTTTCATTTAGCTAGATTTATCACCAATGATATCACTATCATCAATTTCAAATAAAATAACTGAAAAATTATCAATGCTACATTTCCACTGATTTCATAAGCAGTAAAATTCCTCACATTCCACTACTGAATGCAATCACCACTAAAAGCTTTTCAAGAAATAGATTAAATGATTTATGTACATTTGTAATTCTTTAAATCAAACAATGGAGTAATAAACAACTAATCTTTTAACTTCCTGAAAAAGTGTCTCTTAGGAAAAGTGGTTTCTATTTTATGCCATAAAAGTTTTCTCTTTTTGGACAACAGAAAAGTAAAGAGCTAAAGTAAAATAAAATTCCAAGATGACAATACTATTTCCAATATTTGGAACATCCATTTAGACCTTTTTTTATACTTTGACCTCTGCAATTCCAACTGCTCTTAAGAGAATTCAACTATTGAGTTTTCCTCATCTGAAAAAAGGCAATTATATTGAAATAAAAAAGGATTTTTAAGTTACCTATGGCAATATTCTATTCATTATTTTAATGAAGATGCAATTTTTCTGTTCATTGAAAGAAAGATCTTCCCACAATTCAAAAGGTTGCTTTGAGCTAACAGAATCACCGTAGTAGAAAAATCCATAGCTTGGGTATCTTTTGGGATCAGAATGGAAGTATTCTTGGACCCACAAGACTGAATCACCTCCCATTCTGCCAATGTACTTCTCATTGGTAGCAAAGCTACAGGAATTAATGGAAAGAGGTAACATAAACCACTGGGGGAAAATAAGGGAGGAATATTCTTAGAAAGCCACTCTTCACACTACTTGTAGAGTTTGGTGTATCATAGAAGGAAGCAGTTTTCCCCAATTCCAATTCTTCATACCCATGTAAGACTGAAGTGCAGATAGGCTTGCTGGATTATATTAATATTTTTAAAATATAATATTTCTAAATAGCATGATACTGAAGTTCAATTTCTCCATTGGATTTTAAATATATTTTATAGGTTAAAAAAGTTTTATCTTCTGAAGGAAAGTTTCAGTACTGGCCACATTATTTGTCACTTACAGCATGTTTCTGCCAACACTCTCTCAGAACAGGCCTCTTCTTTTTATGTACTACAACCTCCTGCATATCTTCAAGAGAAGGATGCTGACCCACTTCTTCCTCAAAAGGTAACATATACTCATCCACGGGTCCTGCGTTGAAAGAAATAATGTTACATAAATTCTGTTAATTTCTAGTTTCATGTTAATCGGATTAAGAGACTACAGTCTCTTTTGAAGGGTGTGTAAATATGGTTTATCATTATGTATCTACTGGTGACTGAGCTATCTGAATGCCAAGTTTTCAGAAATTGCCAAGTGTTTATGGATTTGGCTTGGTCTAAGATGCTAACAGTTTCCCAGGTGAAACTGTGGTTGAATATGTCTGCATGTTGTGAAATTAAAGATATTTCATTGAGTCTTCCGACTGCTAGTTGATATTCATGGATGTACTCCACTACTCTTCTGCCTATCTGTCCTACATATTGGCAGTTACAGTCCTTACACTGTCACTGTCAACTGCTTACCATCTGATGCCGTACATCGTGATGCCAATTCCCACAGAACTAATCCCATCGCATACATGTCTATCCTCAAAAATGCATCCCGCTGGAAGTTTATAGCACCTTCTAACACTTCAGGAGCCATGTATCTTCGGGTACCAACCTTGAAAATAAGAATAATCATTAGGTTTACAGATATGAACATTCAAAGTTTAAACTAATTAGATGCTCACCATGTATTCTAGAGAAATAAGTAAAAACATCAAAATCACTTGGTACTTAGAACATGGAGTCCTATAATTTATTTTGGAATAGCTTACCATCAAATCCAAAAATACACTGAACAATATTTCTTAAAGAAGTAGGTAGACTTTGGAACATTGTCTATTAAAAAACCATTAAAATCTCTTTATACAATAATTTCAATAGCTTTCATTATTTTGAAATGGCCAAGGAACTAAAAAGAATGAAAATTATTAGCAACATCTCAAATTTGACATGGAGATGTGCTTTCAATGACTGAAGTTAGCATTCACTGCCTATGAGTCACATTGCAAAATAAATACAAAACACAAACTCTCATGACAAGTTTCATACTCAGTAATATTTTTGCTTCTTGTCCTACAATTCTGTAATTTAAAATGTTTATAACACCATGTATAATAATATGCACCTCATAGTCTTTGAAGCAATGGGATCTTCACCTGCACATAAGCACATTTTCAAAACTTTGAACGCTCATTAGAATTTGCAACTCTTATCATTAAGTAACAGAGGGGCAAAGTCCACCTTCCTGAACAGTGTCTGAATTGCAGGATGATGAGATTTCGTCTTTACTGCGTCGTCCTTAACTGATATTTTACCTCAGATTTTAGTTTGCTTGATTTCAGTCACTTTAAAATGTAAGTTCTGAGATTTGATAAATGGACTGAGAGCATGTCAATGTTGGCCATCACTCAATATGCATTAATTAATTTTGAATAAGTGCATCTACTTGTATATATAGTGATCTCAATATTGACTGGGAATGGGAGAAGCTCACAAGATGAATGGGGTTGTCACTCTCCCTCAATCTCATGTATGTTACCTCACAGGATACTTAAGTAAAAATTAGAGTGTTTTATATTTGTCACTTTGAGATCTTGAATGAATATTAATCTAACAAATAGTAATAACTGATGTCTGTGTCAAATCAGTCCAGCCTATATGCTACTGGAATACAGTAGCTTCCACTGTCCTACCCAGTGCTAACAATTCCTTGAGGGTATTTCTGGACCATCAAATTTATTTTCTTGTCTTCATCTCCCTCAGTTGCCACATCATTTCAACTATGTTGATCTTCTGGCCTGAAGGATCCAAAGCACTCTCTAAAATAAATAATTTTTAGGGTTCTTCTGTACCTATTTGTCTGTAATATGCTCCATATTCAGAACTGCCTAATTATACTCATCTCCTTTCAGTATATTTTCTATGCATATAGTTTTTAAGAATCAATGGCATATAATCAATCAATCAAAACCTTTCAGTAGGTATACACTGTACACCTACTGGGGGTTTTCTGTACAGTATTTTCTTTTGTTCTTACATCTCACAATCAGCCCTCCCAAAACTGTTCAAGAAAAGGTGAACAAATCCGCACTACTGAATATCATCCAGCTGTAAACTGTACATAATAGAGTATGTGTCTATCCATACCTGTGCATACACAGACACATATTTATTTATTTATTTATTTATTTGATTTGTATCCCGCCCTTCTCCTTACCGGACTCAGGGCGGCTGACAGCCTTATAAAACCAATATTACAATAAATATCAATTTAAAACCAAATTAAAAGGAAATATTTGTAATGGCCTAATAATTAAAATTTCCCTTAAAAACCCCACTAAAATTCCCTAGGCCAATCCCGCTTNGTACCGGCCGATGGGAGGTAATCTGCGGCAGAAGGCGGTCTCGGAGATATCCAGGTCCGATGCCATGGAGCGCTTTGAAGATGATGACCAACACCTTGAAGCGCACCCGGAAGGCCACCGGCAACCAGTGCAGCTCGCGCAGCAGCGGTGATACATGGGAGCGACGAGTCCCTCCCAACACCGCCCGCGCGGCCGCATTCTGGACCAGTTGGAGCCTCCGGGTGCTCCTCAAGGGGAGCCCCATGTAGAGAGCATTACAGTAGTCCAGGCGGGAGGTGACGAGGGCATGAGTGACAGTAAAACAGATTATCTTTAATCAGGAATCACATTTCTACTATCCATATTGGATACTCTGTGCCCTTTAAGGACTCATATTATTACCATAATTCCTTCATTTATCTTCTCCTAGAATATTCTGGGTTTACTAAATTCTTTCTCAAGACTCATGTAGGAATCTTTCAACATTTTATTTGCTAGGTGCCTGTTGCCACAACATTTTTAATCAATCAATTCCAGTTTTTATTTGTCAGCTTACTCATTAATTATCATTTTCTTTGTTCAACTTATCCATAGGTAGCATGGACTCTCTCTATGAGCTTGCATGATTTTAGAGACTACAGGGGGAATATAAATAATTTCATCACTATAATATCTCATAGAACTTTTAGTTGATATATTCATACACGTTGAAGTGACCAACCTGTTACTTTTTCAAATATGAAACTACATAAAGACAAAAAATGTAGTTTTTGAAATGATCTATAGTATCTATGGTTATAATACATATAATTATATTATTAGACAAGTGAATGTTAATTTTGCTGTTTGATTTTATTATGCTCAGGATCTCTGCCAGAGTAGGGGCTGCTGAAGATTTAATTTTTGAAATGCTAATTTGTGCTGGTACAGATCTAGTGTATATAACTTCAAATATCATATGATTAATTATAGAAAAAAATTCCCTTCATGATGATGAATAGCCATTTTACAAAAGTGCTTTTGGGATTTTACTGGCAAGGAAAACATGGCAAGAAAAACATGGCAACATAATAAAATAAGGTATCTTAATTTTTATTTAGTTTAAACTTACCTGACCATGGGTATCACCAGCTGACTTTCCAGCCTCAAATTTTAAAGCAAGTCCAAAATCTGCGATACATGCCGTAAGATTATTTTTCAATAACACATTCTTGCTCTTGATGTCCCTTAAAAAAAATGAAGTACAAAATTGAAAACTGCCATATTTAAAAGGGATCAGAATAATATTGAACGTGTTTAACTGACAGTATAATTTATTATTTGATTGTAGCTGGAGAGGTAAAGTAATTTTGCTTGGTGACTGGGCATAGCAACTATTTATAATTAAAACAATGACCATTACTATTCATACAGATATACAACACAATCAGAGTGCTTAGCTAATGGAGGAAAAGACGTAAACGACTAACTAAAAAAATTTACCTAATTAGATAGGTAATTTGAACCTCTAATGTTGCCTCTTATAAAATAACAATAGAATGCAAAATATCTTCACAATGCTCTGTGGAGAAGGAAATATGAGTAGAAAAGTGATTTTGAGGTTGCTGCTGCATCAGACAAAATCATCATTGCTCTCTTCCTGACATGAATGAAATAATATAATTTTTGCAGGAGGATGTAGAATGGTGGAGTCCCTTGCAAAACCCAAGCTTTCAGATAAAAACAATTTGTTGCCTCTCCACAGTATAACAATAAAAGAGGGGTACATTCTTTCCCAAAGCCACACAATGTACAGGAAAGAATTGTCACTGCTGGGAAAGTCAATGGCAAAGGACAATGACTGCAATTTATGTCACATAGATAAAACAAGTGGGCTATTGAAGTTCCATATATAAACCAATAAGTAAATCGGTACTTGTGTTCACTTCATGCCACTGTATAAAGCAACATTTTATTTGATCTACTGTAGGTAAAGGGGGGAGAACAAAAATTAAATAGTATAGCAGATGCATTTCAAACAGAGATTGAGTTATTGGTTTTGCTTCACACTGCAGAAATTGAGAAGACGACAAAAAATTGTGAAAGATTGTAACAAATAGAGAATAAGTACCTTTGTGAATGACATCTGAATAGGAATTAATCAAAATTGGTATTGCTTTCTAATGTGTCACTGCATTATTTCTATAATCAAAATTGTATTACAAATTAATTTTGCATTCTGATCACTGACGACTTGTTCTTACTTCTACAAATTGGGTTGCATCCACATTTCAATATAGCAGAGCTGTGGTTTTAATAAGACTGTTCTCAACCAGTCTTGCTGCCCTGGAGGATTGGAAAAGACTCCAAAAGAGTATGAGATCCCTGGGAAAGCAATTAAAATCAGAGCTACAGCTCTTTTCCCTTAGAGTCCAGCTTTCTCTGTTCCTTGTCATACAATTGGCCTGGGATACATTATAATGGCTCATCAAGGAGCCATTATACACTTTTTAAACCTCTTATTACAATTAACTATTGTAACTCTGAAGTGGTATGTTACCTTTAAAGATCAGATGGTAAATAGGATGGATAGATTAGATAGATAGATAGATAGATAGATAGATAGATAGATAGATAGATAGATAGATAGATAGATAGATAGATAGATAGATGATAAATAGATTAGATAGATAGATTAGATAGATAGATAGATAGATAGATAGATAGATAGATAGATAGATAGATAGATAGATAGATAGATAGATAGATAGATAGATAGATAGATAGATAGATAGATAGGGGGTGAGGGTGATGGGGGGTACCTGTGGGATATAGCTGGTTTATGCCCTTCTTTTAGACCAGGAATGTCTTCATGGAGATAGGCCAAACCTCTTGCCATAGTTTCAGCTATATGACAGAGTTCATTCCATGAAACTATATTAGCCTTCAGGAAGTCAGTAAGTGAACCCTAAACAATAAATAATATATTTTTTAAAAAAATTACAGTTTACTTTCCTTAAAAACTTCAAAAACTCCCAGGAAATTTAAATATATTTATATAATACATTTTCTATGTAGCACAAGACTTCTGTATTTACTACATATAGTGTCAAGAAGAGTGTCATAGGAGTATTTAGGATGCATGGACAAAATAGAACTTTGGTCTTGGCATGATCCTGTTTCTACAACTTGTTATAACAGGCTTCTTTCAATGTGCTTTTTGTATCTTGCTCAATATCATTTGCAGGCAGTTCAGGTTTTGCATCCTCAAACAAGGAATTCTCTTCCCCGACTATCACCAGAGCCACATATTCTTACGTATGTTTAAAAAGGATATAAACATCTACTTATTCAATAAATGCAATTGGCTTATGGAAATGTTGTGAGCAAATGCAGAGAATGAACGTAGGGCTGATCCACTTTACATCACATCAATAAAATTACATTTGTAAATTTAGGCTTTTATAACTGTATTATTTTCATTATTATAGTATAAATATATTCTTTCTTTGTAAATTTTACTGTTTAGTTCTTACTTGTTAATTTTTATTTTGGCTGGATTGTATCTCAGTGGGGGACACATTTCCACCCAATGTTATAAATATATGATTACATATTGTGTATAATAATTGTGATTTAAGTGAACTAGATTACAAAACTAAAAATTTCCAATTGTGATATACACAATTATCCTGTGCCTATCATAGGTTAAATTTCCTATTTATTACATTATGAAAAATTTTGTGCAGGAACACTGACATATTTAACCAAAAATTTTAGAACTAGGAATATACATTGGTACACAGCCTAAATAGAGAAAACACACACTTGGAAAGAATATCCCATTTGCTATTCCAGAACCTGGAATATCCAAAATTTATTGAAATCTTTTTGCAATCTGAGCTTGGAGGAGAAGAATGAAAATACAGGGACAGGTTTCACATAACTCCAATATCAATTAAAAAAGAATTCAAAGTAACATTATCATTACCGAGATAGAAATAATTCAGTGGGCATCCTTTTAAACAATGATATGGTAGACAATGTTTGAGGCGTTTGGGGCTACAGTTACCTAGTGCTGTGCCATCATAAGAGACAATGGCAATTATTTCTGTCTCTTGGTTTTCCTCCCCCCCCCCAAAAAAAAGAAAGTTTTACAGGTGGACATGGAAGAGGAAGACCTCTGGGAGCCAAATCACTCCCATCCCCATTCTGAAAAATGGTCTGAAATCACTCTCATGTTGAATTCTTCCCCTTTAAAATTTAACATCGATCTTAAAAATGAATCTACTAAAGTTCACAAGCTTAAAAATTTGCCTCAAAATTTACCTGGAAAATATCATATTTGTACACAATGAAAACTTCTAACCGTTATCACATGAGCTATCACAACTAAGACCATCACCTTTTCATGAAACGCTGTTATTAGCCACAAATCAACATCAATACTAGTGCCTCGTTTCTCAGCACCAATGAACTGTAGTATATTTTCATGCTTCATTCCTGGCAAGCTGTATATTTCATATTCATTTTGCCATGATTCTTTATCCTGGAACAAAAAGAACCAGATTAATACATTTTAAAAAATAATAAATATCTATATATTCAAAAATATTTCAAATAATCAAAATCATATCTGATATGCTATGCCTGAAATTTGCCCAAATGTATGGGGTGATGGACAAAAAAAAAATAAGATGGGGAATAGACATCTTGGTTTAGTTTGACAAATTCACATTAAGAGAGAACTCTTGCTTCTAGCAATTTCTAAACTGTGCACAAACCTTTAGAAATTTTGTCAAACAGATTATTGAATTGAGGCCAGACAAGTTTAGATAAATCTCTTAGATCAACGATTAATAATATTTGCCAAGCAAGTTCTCTGGACTAAAGATAAAGATTTTTCCTGGTTTGCTTCTTCAAATAAATATAGACAATGAGGTGAGGTTAACAATTCAATGAAGTTCATCGGACAGTAAGACAGAATTAAATCAGCAGTTTTCTTCTTCTTTATCTGGTTATTTTCCCCCAGGTTCTAGAATGTTTTTTAGGCTGCTGGTAAATAGTTGGTACATAATTCATAAACATAAATTAACAGTGTGTTTAAATAAGGATTATAATTATTTAGTTTTGCATTGTATTGTGTTTACTAATCTCTTGTAAATGTCATATACCAGCGGGTTGAGTGTCAATGAGACTGTCCTTATTTTGGGGTTTATGTTTTGTATTATTTTGGGAGACCACTGTTGTAAGTTTGTTCGGTATAATTAGATCCTAAGGGTCCGATTGACGTTTTGGAATAAACGTCTCGGAAAACCTTAATATATATTGTCTTGACTCTTGCTTCATTTTTACTTGGTTAGACTAGCAGACATTAAGACTGAAATAACAGCAAAAATATACTATTCCTTCATTCAAAGTTTGTAGCATTAATTGAATGACTTCTGATGAATAAATCAAAGATATTTTGCATAGGAAAGAGATTTCCAAAATCAAATTGGTGATTTGATAGCACCATTAACTCAGAAATAAATATCATTAAACCAATGACCACAGAGAAGATCACTGGCTTATATTATTTTAATATAGAATGATATTATATGAAGGCTTTTTTTGCTGCTATACTGATTGAGGCATATTAAGCAAGCTTTTTCTTTCCTGTTTTCAAAAGGCTTATGTAACAGTTATATTGAAGTAGGTAAGCTATGACTTTGTTTCCCTCCCCCCCAAAATTTCTATGTTAAATGTTGATGCAAAAAAACTGACAAGTTTAGACCAGAGGCTGAAAGTTATACTGTTTCAATAATTCATACTGATTTTCAAAAGAATGTCAAGATTTGGATAAGATTCATATGTGCATTGCTATTTTAGAAACACAGTAAAATAAACCTGAGCTGGCAGCAGTGTCTCCACAGGATATAGAAAAGGCTTTTTATTATGCTACAGGTTAAATTTCTGGAATGTAGCTTACAGGTAATCCCCATTTAGCGATTAGGATCAGTAATACCACTAAGTCAGTAATGGCGAACCTTTTAAAGACCAAGTGCCCAAACTGCAACCCAAAACCCACTTATGCATCGATGGGTGCCGGGTGGGTGTGGCCTATTGGGTGGGCGTGGCTGCGGTGGTAACAGCAGACTGGGTGGGACTAAAAATCAATCAATCAATTCCAACTTTGCAAGATCTTTTTTTTTCCCACAAGAAGTTGAAATTGACTGAGTGAACCTTTTGTTTTGCACACGGCGGCGGAGGCCTAAAGCAAAAAGATTTTATAAAACCCAGCTGAAGGCCTAGGACTGGGGCGACGGCTCATGCCCACAGAGAGGACTCTGAGTGCCGCCTCTGGCATCCGTGCCATAGGTTCGCCACCACTGCACTAAGTGAAGTGGTTGCTAAATGGGAAAGCACATGGCCATGATTGCGCTTTCTGGCTAGAGAGAGACAAGTAACTACTTGGTTTTATACCCTTGGGTTTCTTTTGCCTCCTAACCACTCTCCTGCCCTTTGGAATGCTCAATGCTTGTTTACTGTCTTATACATATTAAAAGCAACATGATCATATAGCAACCTGGGGCTGGGACTCATAGAAGTAAACAGTTTGCTTTATTGAAATCCCTTTGTCTCCAATCTCTCTGTTCTGCAAGGGGGGGAGGAAGTGAGCAATTTCTGTAGGCAATTTCTCTTTTGCCTGACCCTTTCCTGCTGCTGGTGCCATAGTATTGCTTTTGAGATGTTGAAGAACAACAGCTTACTTACAATCCCTCTCTGCTCCACAAGGGGAGAAAGAAAGGGGAAAAACCAATCATAGGTCAGGCACAGGACAATGTGTACTGGCTGCAATGGCAATCATGAGACTCAGGAAGATTGCAAAAGTTGTAAGTGGGTCATAAAAGTTATTTTTTCAGCACCATCATAATTTCAAACAATCACTAAATAGAAAATAGTTGGTAAGTGAGGACTATTTTTGTTAGTCTGAGTTTGTAAATAAATTATCTGATTTGAACATATTTTGAGAAAAAAGGATTCCCTCTGGTTTTTTTTATCAGTATTTAAATCCCAAGCCTGTTATTACAAATGGAATTATTTCTTCACCCATCAGGATGTCTCACTGGATCATTATAAGATGTCCTTTATTTCCTTTCACATTTTACTTGGTGTCAAAACCACTGGAATGTTTTATTAAGCAATCATATGACATTTAGACATATTCTGAGATATCACCTGATTTTCTTTTTATAACAGTATTTTGTAAAAAAAAAAACATTTTAAAAATCTGTCTTTTATAGTACAATATTTTGTTGTTTGTATATATACCTGCACTGGGAATATTTTCACAGCAACATATTCATTTAACAACTGAGCTTTCCAGACACAGCCAAACCTTCCTCTAGCTCTGATCTCTAGTAATTGCAATGGCTTTAGGCCCATCAGTGGTGATGGAGGTGGTGGTCCAGGGTCCTAAAAATAACAACAGTCAACATAAGTTCATTTTTTTAGTATAATCTCATTCACCAATTCGAAGACAACAATTTAGGAAGCAAATTACATCAACAAATCTTACTAGAATGCAAACAAAAGTGTTACTGTTTCACAATTTTTTAATTAATTTTCAACTTTTTTCAGTAAAAATGAGTAAATCTAACACTTAAATTATATGATTCCAAACAAACGCATGNGAGAACATTTACAGTATATGGTCGCCCAACTCACAGTTACTCTGACAGGAATAAAACCCCAAATACAAAACATAATAAAACCCTCTGGTGACAACATTCAAACAAGCCATATTAATCTAGGATTCCCAGGCTAACTGCAAAACCTTATTTGCAGAGCCTTTTGGAATTATATATAACAGAACTGAGAACGAAGTAAAAACTTGGTTAGACTAGCAGACATTAAGACTGAAATAACAGCAAAAATATACTATTCCTTCATTCAAAGTTTGTAGCATTAATTGAATGACTTCTGATGAATAAATCAAAGATATTTTGCATAGGAAAGAGATTTCCAAAATCAAATTGGTGATTTGATAGCACCATTAACTCAGAAATAAATATCATTAAACCAATGACCACAGAGAAGATCACTGGCTTATATTATTTTAATATAGAATGATATTATATGAAGGCTTTTTTTTGCTGCTATACTGATTGAGGCATATTAAGCAAGCTTTTTCTTTCCTGTTTTCAAAAGGCTTATGTAACAGTTATATTGAAGTAGGTAAGCTATGACTTTGTTTCCCTCCCCCCCAAAATTTCTATGTTAAATGTTGATGCAAAAAAACTGACAAATTTAGACCAGAGGCTGAAAGTTATACTGTTTCAATAATTCATACTGATTTTCAAAAGAATGTCAAGATTTGGATAAGATTCATATGTGCATTGCTATTTTAGAAACACAGTAAAATAAACCTGAACTGGCAGCAGTGTCTCCACAGGATATAGAAAAGGCTTTTTATTATGCTACAGGTTAAATTTCTGGAATGTAGCTTACAGGTAATCCCCATTTAGCGATTAGGATCAGTAATACCACTAAGTCAGTAATGGCGAACCTTTTAAAGACCAAGTGCCCAAACTGCAACCCAAAACCCACTTATGCATCGATGGGTGCCGGGTGGGTGTGGCCCATTGGGTGGGTGTGGCCCATTGGGTGGGCGTGGCTGCGGTGGTAACAGCAGACTGGGTGGGACTAAAAATCAATCAATCAATTCCAACTTTGCAAGATCTTTTTTTTCCCCGCGAGAAGTTGAAATTGACTGAGTGAACCTTTTGTTTTGCACACGGCGGCGGAGGCCTAAAGCAAAAAGATTTTATAAAACCCAGCTGAAGGCCTAGGACTGGGGCGACGGCTCATGCCCACAGAGAGGACTCTGAGTGCCGCCTCTGGCATCCGTGCCATAGGTTCGCCACCACTGCACTAAGTGAAGTGGTTGCTAAATGGGAAAGCACATGGCCATGATTGCGCTTTCTGGCTAGAGCAGGCATGTCCAAAGTCCGGCCCGCGGGCCATTTGCGGCCCGCGGCCCGGTTTAATCCGGCCCTCGAACAGCCCTCCCTGCTCTATTAAATGCGGCCCTCCCACGGCCCTCCGGCAAGTCCCATGAGAGAGAGAGAGAGAGACAGAGACAGAGGCACTTGCACTTCTGTCTCTCTCTCTCTCTCTCTCTCATGGGACTTGCCCCCTCGCAGGGCTCCTCATT